CGGCCATCACAGACCGACCATGCAGCCGCGGAAGATTCTCAACACCGCAAACCTTAGAAGCAAGAAAACAGAACATCAAAGCAACGTGCACCGAATTGGGCGGACACAAGGTCTCTCCCGGCACCGGAAACCTGCAGTTGGTGGATGCATCAGTGCAAGGGTCGTAGCCCCTGTCTGAGCTGTGAAGTGAGCCGCGTGTACAGGAGTGAGTTTCTGCAAAGGTTGAGTTGTCGAATGTTGCCACAGTGCTCGAAAGGACTTAGTTGTCCATCAGAAAATTTTAACCCTCAAGATGTTACGAAAGAGACTTAATTGTCCGCTTAATTCAGTGCAAGCTTGTGCAAAGTACTTCTGATCTTCGGATTTAGGGTTTAGGGGTCAGGGTTTTAGGACTGATAGGGCTTATATGGCTGAGCGTATATATATATATATACATATACATGTGTATATATATATATATACATACACATGTATGTATATCTACATATGTGGTGTCCGGCGGTGGGAATACAGGCTCTAGGGATTTTTTGGGGATTCGAGGGATTTGGGTTTCGGGCCTTCGGATGAAGCTTATTGGGTTCTCGGGCTTGGGTTCTTGGGTTTGGGGTTTTAAGGTCTTAAGGTTTTAGGGTTTCAGGGTTTAGGGCTTTAGGGCCTCATCGATCTGTTTGTGTTTCATAGAAATTCTAGTGTTTCAGCCGCTATCCTTACCCTAAAATTCCTTAAACCCGCCCCTGCACCCTGAACCATGTACAGAATAGAACTCCCTAAGCCCTAAAACTTACAACGGGGAGGACAGGCAGAAGCCATTGCCCTAAAGCCTAAACCCTAAACCCTTAAACCCTAAACCCCAAAACCCTAAACTCCAAACCTGGCTCAACTGCTTGCCGGCCTCAATCAAGCTGCCGTGAAAGTCCTTGCGGCCGCAGGGGAGGAGGTGGACTTGGAGTTGAGGGCTTAGGATCCCTAATGGTTTAGGGTTTAGGGTTTAGGGTTTTAGTAAATATAGAGGCCTGAATAATTCGAATAGGGTTTTGAAGCCCATTCTACTATATTTCGTATAAGAAGTCACCAAAATAATAGTGGTAATCATTTAGGCCCCTATATTACCCTGTGTAAGGCCCCAACACAAGGAGTCAGGGGTCTAGGAGTATGAAGCCGACAGCTGCAGAGTCAACCGTCAAATCGCAAAACCCAGCAGTTACGAAGCCGAACAAAACCTCCACACCTTAAACCCTAGCCCGTCATTCTCGACCCCGCAAAGAGACTATGCTTACACTGGGCCCATAAGCCTTCCCCGAAGCCTTCGTTCACTTGCTACTAGACGCTCCGAAGATTAGATATTTGGATTTTGGAGTATATTGTGTACGTACTCAAACAAGCACTGCAACAGGATACGATCAAGAATTGGATTTGGGAGTATATTCTGTACGTACTTATACAAGCACGATGACAGGATATGATCAAGGTTGCGAGCTCTGTCGATCCCCGAGCTCCAAGCCCTGCGCTCAGCCCGAAGCCTAGGCCCCAAGAGCCCTTCTGTGCTGATTCACTTTCTGCTTTATGGTACACCCCTTTGAATAACTCTAAACCGTTTTGTGGTAAACCCCACCCCTATAAATAACCCTAAAACCTGAAACCCGAAACCAGTCCTAAACCCTAAACAGTGAAACCCGTCCTAAGCCCTAAACGCTGAAACCCGAAACCTGTCCTAAACCTTAAACCCTGAAGCCCGAAACCGGTCCTAAACCCCTAAACCCTGAAACCCGAAACCCATCCTAAACCCTAAACCCTGAAAGCCGTCCTAAACCCTAAACCCTGAAACCCGAAACCCGTCCTAAACCCCTAAACCCTGAAACCCTAAGCCCCGTCCTCCATCTCTTTTCACAGGCACCCAATGCCGGTTGGTGGAGCGCTGCAGTTGACTCCGTCTCTAGGACCCAGGTGTACCGCTTCCAAATAGGGCATAATATAGAGGGCTTCATAAGTAGAATAGGGTTCTGGGGCCAGTATACTATAATAAGGAAACCACCGGAATAGTATGGGTAATTACTTAAATTTAAGCCCCCCCCATATAGAATTACTAGCAATTGGGATGTCCCAAGACATCTGACAGGGTTGATCCGGAGTACCCACATTGCCGCTTCATAAAAGGAATCAAAACATGCTGTAGATCCGTAAATCTGTTTGTTTGGTAGAAGATGCTTACATGAGTTGCTCTAAGCCAATTTGGCTTTCTGACTCGGCCCAATCTTCGGCCTCAAAACGTCGTGCATTTGCAGAGAGACCGGGTTCGGGCTACAGTTTACTGCGTACAGATGGTGCCTGGGGAAAAACTTGTGGCACCAGGCCCGCATGCAGTGTCAAAGGGGGCTTCGTTCTTCTTAAATCCCTTTCCTCCAGAACGTTGCGGAGTTTCCATAAGGGCTTTGTCAAGATTTTGCTTTAGGGCTTGAGGTGGTGGGGATTCTACCTTATCGGAAACTCAACCTTGCAGCGAACGGTTTGAACCGACTCCCCAAGTTGCTAAATTGGCAGCCTAACTCGATCATCGCCTGCGCACATATTCGGGTCATAGGCCCCAACCCTGAACCCGCCTCCCTCAACGGCATGGCAGACGCATTCCACACCAGTGCCATGTTGTGGGAGTGACAGAGCACAAGAGGCCCCAGTATAGCCCCCCGGCAACCCCAAACCTAAAGCTAAAAACCCTGACTTTAAGAACCCCCTGTAGAGCTTCTACATGCTGGCACCTAGCATACATTCGAACGGGCTTTAGGGCTTTAGGCTACTCGGGTTTCGGGCTCCAGTTGCCTGCTGTTTCCCAGGCTACACGGCATGGTTCACTAAGGCATCAAGACGTACTTTGTAGTAGGGCCTGTCGGCTACAGAAGCCGTCGGTAGGGCTTAGAATGCCCAGTTAGGACTTCTCTGCCCAGAGAACTCCTAAACCCTAAACCTTCAACTTCAACCCTCTTCACCGAAACCCCAAACTCTACACTCCTCAACCCTAAAGCTTCGATAAATTAAGGAAAGCTTCGGTCATTTTGCCGGGCCACTGCTCCGCACCGTCGGGCATCGCAAGGGTCAGGTGTTTCGGGCCCCGGGCTCCGGGTTCCGGGGCTCTGGGGCTTTGGGGCTTTCGAGTTTCGGGTAGGTTGCGGGGCGAAGGGTGTCAGGACTGGGGCTCGCCCCAAACCCCTCAACCCCCACATAAATCCTAAACTCTAAACCCTAAACACCCTAAACCCCGAAGCCCTAAACCCTAAACCCTAAACCCCGAAGCCCTCTGTCGCCGGAATGCGGAGACTTCCTTCGTGGAAGGCTTGGGATCCGCGAGCTACTTGGGCGCCGCCGTCGGAGAGGTCGGCGCAGAGGCGGCCATGGGGAAACCTGCCAGGAATCCAGGGCTTCGGTTTAGGGTTAGGGTTTAGTTTAGGGTTTAGGGTTTAGGGCTTCGGTTTAGGGCTTAGGGTTTAGAGTTTAGGGTTTAGGGCTTCGGTTTAGGGCTTAGGGTTTAGAGTTTAGGGTTTAGGGTTTACGTAGCGCATAGGGCTTTCTAGGGTTTTGGGGCTTCGCAGCAAGAGTGTATGTTTAGAGAGCCCAACACCTCGCGAGGAATAAAAGCAACATCTTCCGCAGATTCTAACTACGATCTCTTTCTCTACTTCATGGGATACTTGTTAGGGTATAAACCCTGAACTTTAGGGTTTAGGGTTTAGGGTTTACTGGACGTTTGGCAGGTCAGGCATGAGAAGTAAGCATCATGATAAGCAGTAAAATGAGGATCATACCCAGGACGATAATACGCATTATAATAAGGATTGTGCCAAGGATTATAATAAGAACTATAATGAGGATTACAATGTAAGGATGCTAATATCACCGCCCTTACAGAAGCGGAATCTTACCAACCAGGGGTCTACGTACACTTGAGCCGAGGTTTGGGTGTTCGGCTTAGGACCGTTGTTTGCTGTTGGGGTTTAGGGTTTAGGATATTTAGGGTTTAGGGATGTTTAGGGCATTTCGGGTTTAGGGCATTTAGGCTTTAGGGTGTGTGGGTATCTAGGGTTTAGGGTATTTCGGGTTTAGGGTGTTCAGTGTATTTAGGGTTTAGGGAGTCGAACCTAGCCTTTCATCCTGAAGCTCCACAACCTCATCTCGAAACCCCAAAGTCACAAACATGATAATACAGGGGCCTTAATAATCAGAGTAGGCTTTGGGGGTATATTGTACTATAATTGTGATGAGGTTCAGGATTTAGGGTTTAGGGTTTAGAGTTTAGAGTCTAGGATTCAGGGTTTAGGGTTTAGGATTCAGGATTCAGGGTTTAGGGTTTAGGATTCAGGATTCAGGGTTTAAGTTTGAAGGTTTTGGGTTTAGGTCTGCATCTAAACTGTGAAGTCCCAAACCCTCGCGGAGTTTAGGATTCAGGGTTTACGGCTAGGGTTTACAAGAAATTTAATCAAGAAGCCCTATGAACCTTTGAGGGGCATTCTTAGTTGTGTCACGTTCTCTTAATTGAAACCTGTTGGCTTCCCCACCTGAGGACAACCACCTTTCTGCCTCCTCTGTCTGCTTCATCGAGGCAGCTGGTTCCTGGCTTCGACTTTGCCGTTTTTCGACAACCGTCTAAAACCCTTGCAAGAGCAAATATACAGCCACCGACCTTACTTAAGACAGCTTGACGCAAAACCCTTATGAGAACTCTGAAACCAGATTTAGCGTTCAAACGCTTCGATGGCTTCGGGTTCAAGGTTCAGGGACGACGCTAAAAACATGAGGTTTAATGGACTATCGGGTTTTTTGAAACATTTTCAGAACTACAGAGACCTCAAAGGCTTTGTGCAAAAACACATGTTGCTTGCAAAAAACATGCGAAACATGGATCATGGCCTGGGCTGATGTGCTCCTCGGGAGTGATACCCATCGGTAGCTAATATAGGGGCCTTAATAATTAGAATAGGGTTTTGGGGCCCATTATACTGTAAATACAATGATAGGGAAGCCCCCAAAAAAGTATTGGTAATTATTTCATCTTGTATATTACCCGGACAGTTGCATGGACTGGGCAAAAACTATCATGACAACCCTGCAGACACGCACTCCAAGCTACTTGCACGCTAAACCCTGAATCCTAAATTAACTTAAATACTACACGCAACAGGCCAGGCAGGCATCAGGTTGGTCTCCAGTTTTGAATGTCGTCCTCGCGCTGGCCCTTTACAGATGCGCGCAGAGCCTGGCATATGTGCATTGTAGCAGTAGCAACAGAAGAAGCCGCTGTAGTGGCAGGAGTAGGAGCAGGAGCAGGAGTAGGAGCAGCAGGAGGAGGAGCAGCAGGAGGAGGAGCAGGAGCTTTAGCAGGAGCAGGGGGTTGTTGTGGCAAGCAGGTGCAGGAGCAGAAGGTTATTGTGGCTAGTAGGTGCCAGTACGGGTTTAAGAGGGTATCCAAGAGATTTCTGCAAAAGGCTTTTAAATTGGTGCTGGAAAGAAACAGTATTTGCTCTAGCATGGGGTCTTTAATCCCTAATTTGGCTTGGGTATGGGAGAGCACTTTATTATTTTATAGTATATGGGATGCAGAAGTAAACTTCTGAGGCACCGCAATGCAATAATGCGAATTATTCAGGAGTCCATATTAGGCTTTCGGCGGTTAGGGCCTACACCATGAGGCCCCCAAGCTACACGGCAAACACACCCAACTTCACAGTCCAAACACCCAAGGGTTTAGGGTTTAGGGTTTAGAGAAAGAAACAAAACCTTGCCCGGCCTGTCATGCAGTTGCCGAGTGTGGATCACGCAAGCGTGCCTGGCAACCTAAATAAACCCTAAACCCTAAATCCCCGATGAAGCAGAAGACTCAAGGGTTTACGGTTTGAGGTCTAGGGTTTAAGATTTGGGAAAGCTTGGAAATTAGGCTTGCTGGAACGACATGGGGAATAAACATACTGCACCTATTCTTGCCCAAGCTTATTTTAGAATCGTCGTGCTACATACTCTTGATTGCTAGGGTTTTCACCCCAGTGTAGGGAAGCGCGTTCTGGCCTTAAAAGCTTGTAAGGCTACCACGAAGCCGTGGCTTGACATGGAGACTTCGACATCAACCCATTACCGAACCATGCTAAGGCGACTGGCGTAGCTATAAGGAACATATCAGAATACAAATGATAAGAACAATAAGAACGTTAATAATAATGATAATGATAATAATGATAACAATAATAATTATAATAGTAATAATAACACTAATAACAATAACAAGAGTTAATCAACAGAACAAGGTTCAATAATAAAAATAGTAAGTATTAATGATTATCAGTAATAACAACTAATGATAATAGTTAATAGTAATGACAATAAGAACAAGAGTAATAATCTGAAGTCATCACGCTACACCCTACCGCATCCTCAGGTCCGGATTCTTCTGTTCGGTGTTAGATCCTCCTAGCCTTGTCGGGATTACACGGCAGAACAAGTACAACAAAGCAGAATATACTAAGGTTTAGGGCTTAGGGTGCAGGGCTTTAGAGTTCTGGGTTTAGGGGTTTAGGGTTTAGGGTACTAGGTTATACAGGATTATAAGGCTGTCCCGATATTGCCGCAGAGGGTTTAGGAGCACCCAGGAGCTGCCTTTAGCGAGTCAGGGTTTCGAGGCTTAGGGTTTTAAACCCTGCCTGCCGCACGTACTCCCAAATCACAATGGAGCCGGACACGTGGACCTCGTGAAAAGGCCGCCAGGTTTAGTGCTGAAAGCGGCTCTTGTCTCTCAGAATTAATTAGAATGGGGTTTTGGAGTATTTTTATACTATAATTCTACAAAGGAGCCCCCAAAATAATATAGGTAATTAGATAATTATTGAGGAGCCCTGAAGCTC